TTTTCTTGTTCCCTCCAATCATATTTTCTCCTCCCCAGAATTTCTCAGACTTTTTAATCATCTCCTCTTTTTTGTGTTTTGATTGTTTTTTGTTTTTCTTTGCTTTGAGTGTTTTCTTTTTGTGGTTTCTAGAGACAGTATTTCACACAGCCCAGACTGACCTCCAACTCTCTGAGGTTGACCTCGAAGTCCTGCTGCTCCTGCCTCTACACCCCAAGTGCTGGGATTAAAGAGATAGGTCATCATGCTTGGTGCTTGTTTTGCTCTTTACAGGGCTTTACTATGTCACCCAAGCTATCAAACTTATAGTTCTGCCTCAGATTCTCATGTACAGCAACAGGAACGTATGTATGCCAGGTGTGTCCCTGGAACACAGCCTCTCTCTCTCCCTCCAGCAGAACCTAATGGCCTCCACACCCTACACCAAGGCTACCACAATCCTATGACAAAGTCCCCACAAGGCCCTATGGAAAACCTACCACCTGGGGCTGAAGAGATAGCTCAGTTGGTGAAGAGCTTACTGTACAAGCATGAGGTCCTAAATTTTCGTCTCCAGCACCCAGGTAAAAGCTAGAGTCCCTGGGTTTGCTGTTCAGCCAGTCTACCCCATTAGTAATGAGAAATTCTGTCACAAAAAATAGGGCAGAAAAAATGATTGAGGAAGACATCCAACTTCAATCTCTGGGTTACACACACACACACACACACACACACACACACACACACAGTCGAATGCATACACACATACACACACAGAAAAGACAAAGGAAAACCCACCATCCTCTAAACTGCCTCTCTGTCCTGTAATCCTCCCCATCATTCATTCCTGAAGGCCCTGTTGACTGCCTTGGTCTCATCCCCTATCACCTGCCATTGCCTCTGATTCCCAGGTGCATGGAACCATGCCCACCCTCACTACAGTCTTCCTCTCCAGGACCTCATTAACACCCCTGAAATCTGTAGCAGCCACACCCTGTATGGACATGTCAGCCCCCAGAACTGCCCTCCTAGGAAATATTTCATTCCTACCTCCCTCTCTGACCTTGGCCTTCTCTTCCATCTCTGCACCCCCACCACTCCACAGCTGTCGTGCGACCTCAGAGAGACCCAACCTTCACGTGGGTTTCCTCCCTGCCTCTGCTTCCTCCCAGCCTGGGCCCGGAAGTCCAAGTCAGTTTCAGGCTTCATTCAGGGCTCCACCTACATCTGGGCCCTGGATTAAAGTCACCTTCTTCTTCCTCTTTGCCCAGGGGTTGAGTCATCCCACCCTGGGAAATCAGTGCCTGCCAGGGACTGTCTTGGGTCCCTGCTCACTAGATTCTCTCCCCTTCAGTGATCGGTCAAACTTTGCCCTGACCCTTGGATCCCAGGAGAGGAATGCCTGCCTGGACTCAGATTTCCCGGAGAGCAGGTTGACTCCCCAGCATGCCCAGCCTTGCCTCCAGCCCAGCCCAGGAGCACCTCCTTCCCCACACACCAGCCTCCTCCACTCGGGTACCCCACTATGTCCCTCCCCATGCCTTCTTAGCACCCGGCTCCTCTTAGCTCTAACTACCACGTGGTCTTTACCGGGTCTCTGAAAACCTTCATTCCATCCTCCACATGGCTGCCAGAGAGGGGGCTCCTAAATGCCCATGTCACTGTCCCTTCCTGCCTAAAATGTACAAAGCTTGCTTGATACTTGAGGGGCAATATCTGAGCCCCCAGGCATGATCCCCAGTGCCCTCCACAAGCTGCCACCATCTTCACAGCTCACGCTCCTTGTCTCGCACCTGAAGCCCCAGCTTCACACTTCCAACTACCTCTCACTTTGATGTTTCAGCCCAAGCTCTCTTGTGGCCTGAGATGCCTGCCCCTCTCTGCATCCTCCATAGTCATACCAGCCCTTTCTCCAGGAGGCCTCTGCCCCCAGAGACTCAGGTAGGCACCTGTCCTCTATGCTCCCCCAAGCATGTGTGCTATTACAAAATTGTTTGTTTGAGACAGGATTTCTCTGTGTAGCTCTGTAGACCAGGCTGACCTCGAACTCACAGAGATCTGTCTGCCTCTGCCTCCCGAGTACTGGGATTAAAGGCGTGCGCTCATTACAAAATTCTTACAATTTTCTTTTACTGAGTTTGTCTCCCACCTGACACACATGGACAAACACCCAAAGGTGGAGAAGTGGGCAGAACCAATCTGGAGAATCCAACACACAGACATGCTCTTCTCTCAGTCGGATGTTCCCCCTGCCACCTCTCACCAGGTGCAGCCAGGTGCAGCCAGGTGCAGCCAGGTGCAGCCAGGTGCAGCCAGGAGCCACAGAAGCTCCACGACCTGCTCCCTCAGATTCATCTCCCAGGCATAATATCCCTGCACACCCTTTCAGGTGGCCCCTTCTGCCACATACCCCATTCCCAGGGTTCCCCGAGGCTCCTGGTTACACCACCCACCTCCCCCATACACCATACCTTGGCCAGGGATCTGACTATGGGACTTTCCATAATGCCTCGAAGGAAGATCAGGTCCAGTTCCGCAGCCCCGGTGGCATTGGGAAGGGATCCCAGGTTGTCCAAGACCTGCTGCATGGCTGGGGAGAGGCAGTGAGATGGTATCAGCTGGACACAGAAGACCAAACTCCAGCACAAACCCTCCCATCTCCAGCTCCTCAGAAGTCACCCAACAGCGCTTCCTACTCTCCTCTCACAGACACCAGGCCCTTGTATGTCTCAGGCAGAGATCCTAGGGGCAGGCAGCAATTTTCTTGACCTTTTTGTCCACCTTAGGCAATGCCAGCCTGGGAAGGTAGGAGGCTACCAGCAGCAGGAACCAGACCAGAGAGCAGGGGCAGGTGTCCCTTTCCAGATTTTGCCCAGCAACAAAGAACTAGACTTCCCACTCAACCTCTAGCTGAGCGGAAGCATGAGGATTCCACCACCACCTGTAGCTGGCAGGCTCAGGGGTAAGACAGAGCTTGGAGCAGGTCTCTGAGTCCAAGCAGAATCGAGCAGTCAGCAATGCAGAAGGCCAGGACCAATGCAGCACCAGCTCAGTGTGATACTGCACAAGTCACTGTCCCTAGCTCTGACAAACATCATTCTTCAGAAATTAATGCATGATGAAAAGTCAAAACTGAAGCCTGACATACTATCGGGGCTAGAGAAACTAGCACTCAAGGATGGCTGTGGGTACCAAGGGCAGAGGTCAAAAAACACATCACCCCAGGAATGACCACTCTCAGCCTGGGATGAGATATAACCAAGGACATCAGTACACCTGAAAATGGCCTCTGAGACATGGGGCTGTCTTCACTCCCGGGTGAAGGTGGGAGGGAGCTCCAGGGGGTGGAAGGAAGGAAAAAAGCATTGTGCCCAGATGGGAGCAAAGATGGGCAGGGGGTATCATTACTCTGCCACCCACGCCTACATCTGCATAACAGCGTCCAAACCCTGCAGGAGTGGGGAAAGGCTTTCTGGCGCCTCTCTACACTCTTCTCAGAGCTCCCCTTCTCAAAAGAGTGAGGGTGGGCAGCAGGGGGCCCTAAAACTGGACCTTGGAGAGGATGGCTTAGGGCGCTGAACCCCCATTTCTTTCCCCATCTTCTCCATAAATAACAGCCGAGACTGCCTCCAGACCCTTCCTTTCCAGCTCTCAAGGACCAGAGACTTAGAAGGTCCTTCTTGGCTTTCAAAGAAGCCAAGTCAAAGCCCTCCCCATTCTGCCAAATGTCCACGGTCCAGCTCACCGACTCCCCAGACAACCAGCTATTGGGGTTGGGGGACTGAACGGGGGGGAGGGGAGTGATGCCCTGTGCCAGATCCGCTCTTCTGGCTGGTGGGCGTCCATTTCTCCCCTAAGGGTGTTGCCCAGGTGCCCCAGAGCCCACTATGGGATGGTCGGCTAAAGGGAGAGTACCCCTCCCCTGGCCTCTCCACCCCACCTCTTCCTACCTTCCCTACAGAGCTCTGCCTCTTCAGAGGATCCCAGGGAAATCCCCTCCAAGGAAGCCCCACTGCCTGGGCTGCAGGCCATGGCGACCCCTTGGCGATCCTGGAACAGTCTCCCCCGAGGTCGGCGCCTTCCCAGCCAGACGCGGGCTGAGCTAAAGAAGGCGGGACTCTCGGGCGCTGCAGGATCAGCCAATAGCAAGGCTCCGCCTCCTGGACCGCCTATTTGATTGGCCAAAGCCCGCCTGCTGGTGAGGAGGGGGCGATGATGGGTGGGAGGAGGGAGGTGACAGGAGAGAGTCTTCCTAAACTGGCCTGGTCCCTGTCACTTACTGTCACCAGTACAGGTACGGAGGTGGCAATGAAATCGGGCTTGCACGAGTGAGGTAAGTCCCTCAGGACTGGGGCCTCCCTCTCGGCCAGCGCAGAAATCCCAGGTGACCGGCAGAATTTGACTCCCATCTTGCTTTTGCACCTCTCATATGGATGCCCCTCCTCTATTCCATCCCAAGCTGACTCCTACCCGATCCCGCACCACACCTCTGACCTTTGCCTCTCCCTCACTGCAGGCTAGCTTCTTTACAATAACCCTCTCAACCGAAGAAAGCCCTCAAGAACAGCTCTGGGTCCTCTCCCTGGCAGGTGCAGGAAGGTGGTAATACCATTTTAACAAGAGGCAAGTATCTTAACCTCAAATGTCATCCACTGAAGCAGTGTGGGGAGACACAGAATGGTGGTACCCATGAAGCCGTAGAGGGACCAGTTCTTGAATCCATCTCAATAGTAGCTTCTCCCTTTGCCATTATTATCCATCAGGTGAGGGGTGACACCCGGGAGCAAGCCAGGCACTTTAGAACTGGGGGAGGGAAAAGGTGAGGACCCATTTATGCAGCAAGAATAAAAGTGGGCAAGAGGAAAGGCCTTGGTAACTACCCAGGCCCTGGACCCCATGTGTACCCATGTGTATCCATGAGGCCACTATTAAGGCACTGCTGTTGCTGTTGCTGCCACCTCCAGTCAGACATTCCCAGAAGAATGGCACCAGGTCGCCTTGCACCCCTGGTTGCTATGGCAGCAGGCAGGATTACACACCAGGGCAGTAACCCAGAGATGGAAGAGATATTTAAAGGGACAGCTCCCTCTGAACACAGGCCCACATCCTCAACTTGTTTCAAAGAAAGGAGTGAGCCGGGTGAAGAAAGAAGAAACAATGGGGCCATAGTGAGCACAAGATGTCTAAATTCCCATCCTGTGTGTGATGCCGCTCACCTGTCCTCAACTAAAGCAAGAGGGAGCCTCCCATAGTATCAAGGGCCATTTTGATCCATGGGGAAAGGATGGAGAAGGAACTTGCTAGTTTCACCTTCGAAGAAGCCAAAGCAGGAATGCCCCCATGGAAACAGGGAGAAGTGGAGAGGAGCCTGACCTCAGGTGAGGGGCACAGCTGGGTCTCTGTCAGACCCATGGGAAGTGCAATGGCCACCAAATGACAAGGAGCAGGATGCACCCTTAGATTTTGAGGCTAAGATGCCAACAGAGGACTAGCTAGGGGAAGGGAGCACATGGTATTTCTTCCTTTGGATACAGAAGCAAAGAACAGCCCACAGCACGGCATCTAGGGGAACAGGGCACCAGGAGGTGTTTGAAAACTCAGGCCACACCCATAGGCATGGGCTCCTACCCTGTGTGCCCCTACCACGTGGCCTGCAGCTGGGAACCTTCTCCCTGTGCAGCCCTGCAGGTCACCATTAATAGGTTTACTTGGCAAGCCCAGATGAGAAGCCTTTAATCACAGGCTCAGGGATGGGTCTCATTGACTCCTAAGCAGCTTTAGAGCAGGCTAGCAGGGGGAGAGGCCAGGAAGCATGAAGAAAGCATGAGCCCCCCCTCAAGAAGCTGGGGACATACCATGGCATGGAGAAAGAGACTTTCCTGGGGGCGGAGGTAGGGGTGGGGGTAGGGGATGGGATGGGTGGGCAAAGGGGTCACAGCTTAGATTCTGGCTGGTACACAGCAATGTTCGTTTTCTTAGAGGGTAGGGACAAGGATTCATTCTATGCAAAGTGGGGACCTGGAATGTCTTGCAGAAGGAGCAGCGGGATTCACTGCAAAGAATTCAGACTGTTCAGGGCGTCTCATGGCTGGAGCCAGAGCCCTTTCAGAGCTTCTAGACAAGGAACCTAATTTTGGTGGGTCTCAGAAAACACTCAAGGGTCCAGGAACCACTGGGGTGGGGTTCCAGGGCATGGATGCAGGTGGATGGGGGCCCACTGCTGTCATCAGAGTCTGGGAGATCTAGGAGCAAAATCAAAAATGTCAATCCCATCCTGCCACCTTATCTCAGAGGAAACAAGTCCTCAAACAGAGATGACTGACTTACAGGTGAATCAATGCCATAACAGCACAGCCGTGGTGGCGCCAGCCACCACCGCAGCAGCAGAATAATTGTGGAAACTCCTCATAGCAATGAGTTCTCCACTCCCATTGCCTTTGAATGTCATATCAACTCTTTTAGAAGTTCAGGCTAGGCAGTTCCCAGGTGGCTGCTGGGCTTTTGCAGCCTATGTACTCTAAGGCTGAACACCTACAGAACTTTGTGCAAGCATCCCTGGGGGAGGGGGTTGTCTCTCTGTTTACACCTACACGTCCCACCCACCCCCAACCTCTGGATAGGCAAAATGTACTAAGGACTTCTCAGTCCCTCTAACCTGTACTTATCCTCCAAATCCAGATTCCCCAGCCACGTCCTGGGGCACTTCCCTGCCATTCCCGTCCAGCTGCAGTGTGCACCATCTCTGAAGCAGGCACCCTGGCCCTCAGGCAGTTTGCTACATCTCCAGCGCTACCTGGAGCAAGCTCAGGTCTTACTCTGCTCTATCTTATTTCAGGGAGAAGGCAGCCTGAGGGGTGGGGTGACGGGGGAGGAGTGTGAAAGTGCCTAGCTACTACTGCTATACCCACCCCCTTATCCTTGCCCAGCCCCCTCGGGAACCACTGAGGCAGGCTGACTGCATAACCCTCTTCTTACCAGACTCGGAGTTTGTGGCCGCAACTGGCATGGTGAGGTCGGTGAGGACTCAGAATCAGTCTCCTAGAGTGGGAGAGAGGAGGATGAGAATGTACAGGGCAAAGCCAGGGACAGCAGAGACGAGGAAGGGTATCCTCTTCAGGAACAGCCACATTCGAGGAAGAGAGCATTGTCCAGAAATGGGAGATTGGATTACAAGAGTGACCCCAAGTGCCCTGGAAATCAAGAAGAGCAGGTGACATGCCCCCTCTCAGAGGCGGGAGAGACAAGAAGGATCGAAGAGGTTACTCAGTTTTTCCCAAGGCTCCAAAGCTGGTAGGAGAGCTATAGTGAAAACCTAGGTTTTGTGACTCTTAAGAAAAACAGTATTCCTCACTGGGTGTGATAATGCCCACCTGTGCTGTAGTACAGCTACTCAGGCCAAGGCAGAAGGGGCCCCTTAGCCCAGGAGTTTGAGCCAGCCTGGGAAACCTCATCTCAAAAACAAACAAAACATAATATTTCTTTCTAGTTCTGGAAGGAGATTAAGTGTGAGTTCTGAAAAAAAGTGGGAAGTGTCCCCCCAGCTGGTAGGCTCTAGAAGAACAGGAATTGACCCCATTACTCACCCTAGGCCCCAGCCCTAGAACCTTGGGTGTGCCATGAACACTGGTGTCCAGCTGACAGAAATTATATTTCCTTTCCCACTGTCCTTCTGGCTTCTCTCTCTCTCTCTCTCTCTCTCTCTCTCTCTCTCTCTCCCTCCCTCCCTCTTACCTGGCTAGTCCAGGGGAGGATCTGCAACCATAAACAGGCATGGAGTCTGCAGCCCCACTGCCCATCCCAGGGTCTCCCCAAGCCAAGACTGTCTCCTTCATCCTCCCTGGAAAGGAGAATGGGGTGACCCACCACTCTTCCTCCGCTTGCCTTCCTGGACATGTGCTACTGGATAAAACCCTAATTCCCTAGTTGCCATGACAACAGGAGGCAGTGGCTCACAGCAAGGGGGGAGTAGGGGGAAGCAGCTGGCAGTGCCCACTAAAGTCTTTTGCACCCGACGGGGGAGGGGGAGCGCAGGACTACTCCACCTCCCCTGAAGACTCCAAAATAAGGAGCAATTACTGACTACTAAAAGCCTCTCTGCTCCCTCTTTCAGGCCTAAACTAATGGCTTCAGCTCTGGAGGCAGAAACCACAAAGGTGGTTCTCTCTCCTCCTGGATCTTCTCAGGAAGAACCGAACTTGCCGAGAGAGGAGGGGAACACCTCTCACACTAGCACCACTGGCTGGGAGAAATGTCCAGGTTCCACTGCGCTAACCAGTATCTCTTGTGCCAACTCCGCTGTTCTCTCCTAGAGAGCAGGGGGCACCTTCTCATGGGTTGGGCCATGCTTCCTAGTAGAGATGCTTGCTATGGGGTAACTCTTTTTCCGGAGCAGAGAGACAGGGAAGAAGCAGGCGGAAGAACAACCCAGTGAGCCTGGGTTTGCTCCCTGAGGAGTTGGTTCCCACGGTGTCGGCTCCCTCTGCCCCACCCCCACCCAAGCCTCTGAGAGGGCGGGGCCAGCTGTGCCCACAGGAGAACGGCAGTGCCAGGCGAGCTAGCCTGGTTCCATGCCACGGTCCCCAGGCCCAATCATGACTTAACCAGCACTTCAGCTTCCAAAATCATAAGCCCAGGAACCCTCCCGCTCCCACCTCCACACGCACACCCGCCACCAACCTACCCATCTTTCCCCACCCCCAGGGTGTCTGTCTGTAGGTGAAGCCCGCCAGCTTCAAAGGGGGAGGTTTTCTCCAGACTCCCACCCACCCCTCCGTCAGTGCAGACACAGAGGTGCGAAAGAGGACCGCCTGACAAAGGCACTTTGGAGCCCGATAGGGTTGTGGGGAAGGCTGGACACAACTAAGGGTCGGAGGATGGGATCTAGGGAGCAGGCGGCCGTGCCCGCACTCACAATCAGACCGCCCCCTGCCCCTCCAATTTAGTCCTAAGCCGCTGGGCGCTAGGACCCGGAAAGGAGGGGGCGTGTTGCGAGCCATCAAAGAAGGCTCTTTGCTTGCGCGCCCGCAGAGACC